TATTATAATTATGCAAAGTGTGGGCCATTAATGGTTGTCTGGAATCTTGATGGCTCCCATCAAGCAGGACAATTGACTGTGGATGGCTCTGTTTGCAGGCAAGTCTTGCTGTAAGTCAGGCTGGGAGGAATGAAGGCTTGGGGTCTTACTGTGACATGTGATCATGTCACCTGAACTGGAATCCATCTTTAACCTAGTCCTTTTCCATTGAGAAGTGGGGGGGACGGGACCCAGAAGGACAAAAGGTTCCCGCCTTGGCCTGGAAGGTGCCCAGTCTGAGGAAAAAACTTACTGTAGCCTCTCTAAGGGTGAGATTATCTGTATTCAGGTTGATTAGACATAGATTTGCATGTTTTATTTTATTTTGCTTGGTAATTCACTTTGTTCTGTCTATTACTACTTGAAACCACTTAAATCCTACTTTCTGTATTTAATAGAATCACTTTTTACTTATTAATTAACTCAGAGTATGTATTAATTCCTGGGTGGGCAAACAGCCGTGCATATCTTTCTATCAGTGTTATAGAGGGTGAACAAAATGTATGAGTTTACCCTGTATAAGCTTTATACGGGTAAAACAGATTTATTTGGGTTTAGACCCCATTGGGAGTTGGGCATCTAAGTGTTAAAGACAAGAACACTTCTGTTAGCTGCGTTCAGGTAAACCTGCAGCTGTTAGGGGATGTGATTCAGACCTGGGTCTGGGTTTGCAGCTGGCTAGCGAGTCTGGCTCAAACCAGGCAGGACACTGAGGTCCTAAGCTGATGGGGCAAGAAAGCAGGGGCAGAAGTAGTCTTGGCACATCAGTTGGCAGCTCCCAAGGCGGGGTTCTGTGATCCAACCCGTCACAGGTGCCAAGATGCCCCTTCCTCCCAGTGCCAGTTGTGCCAGGGCACCCAAGGCCTTTGGGCCTGGATTGGGTGGATCATGACTCAACCTTGAGCTTCCACCCAGACAAAGGCCAAGTAAATATGATGAGGATTGCTGAAAATCTAGTTCATTATATAAAAAGTTTTACCAATCCCAAAGGATCGGACACATTACCCACCAAGTTAAAGAATATTTCAGATCTTACTCAAATCCATGCTAACAGCCAATTCTTATGAACTAAACTAAAATGTATTTAAAAAGAAAAGAGAGAGTATTGGGTAAAGATCATTATCCATACAGATATGAATAGAGTTCTTAGATCAGTTTCATAGTAAAGATGGTGAGCTTTAGAGTTGCAAAAAGTACTTTCAGAATTAATCCATAGGTTACAGTCCAGTGTCCAATATCAGGGTGATTCAGATGGGACTGGAGACCTTAGAATTGTGACTCAAACTTCCTCTGATGAAGCTTAAGCAGATCTGAGATGAGAGGATCAGGGCCCTAGAGTTCTTTTTATAGTTTTCTAGCAGCCTCTTGACAGCGTGCAGTCCTTGGGTGAACAATAGGCAATTATCCTAGCTTTGAAGTATTTCCTAAGCATCACCGATAATTAGCTACATGGATTAACATGAGGCAACTGCCCATCGTCAGCCATTCACAGGTAGTTTACTACAAACTTCAGAGAGAAATAAGGACGATGATATTACTACATTCACAGTTCATCTAAATGTTAACATTTCCTTTTGATCTCTGAATTAACAGAATACAGCAATAGAGGGGAACCATTTGGTTACATTGTCAGCCTCTAACAATATACGTGTAAACACACAAAAACCACAATCATTGTCCACTAATATGTCCTTAAAGGTTGTATCTGGGTCAATTAGCCTGCTAGTTGTAACCCTTTCTGGCCCTGTGTGACAAACCCTAATACCTAGTTTAACAACACTAACACCCAGGCGAGCCAGACTGGTTCCAGCTATGTCTTTGTCAGGCTTCAGTTGAGACCTAGAGGCCTTGACATGAGCTGACACATGGTCTGCCAGCGTCACAGTCTCTATTCCTAGACGGGGTGATCCCCTGTCTGTTGTAATGTTCCTTTTTTTTACCTCCAAGAGGTTTCAATTGTTTGCAGTTCTCTCTGATGGTTTTCCATGGATAGTCTTCGGATGGAGCAAGGCTGGACAATTGAGCCTTGCATGACATCACCGGCTAACCGGGGCAGGTACAACTCCTTCCTGCTTGAACAGGCCATCACTGAGACATATTATCTCCTGGTGACTGACTTTTACTCCAAGTTTATAAAGCATGCTGTCAATATAAAAACATTATTCCTTAAATATTACCTCTACGTACGTATGTCTTGTAATGAGTACGAATCTTGACAAGTTATGAGCTTTCTGTAGATACCTTATACATTACTGTTTATGAGCAATATCCTGCAAGTCTTGGTTGGTGTAGAGCAGTGGTTCCCAAACTGGGGTTCGTGAACTGTTCCAGGGGGTTCTCGGGAAAAAATTCCCTAATGGCAGACAGAGCTGTCCTTAGGGACCCCGGGCAGCACGGGACCAGCAGCCTCGGAGCCCCTGGACTTCCAAGAGCTAAGCAGATCAAAGCAAGCACATCTATCACACCGAGGAGATTTCAACTTCAAGACTCCTTATAAGAAATGGAAAGGGAGGTGGATATTTTTTGCTGCTTTTAAAATTAAATAGGCAGCTAGTATTGTTTTTAAAATTATTATGAAGAACAAGTTTAAGCTTTGTTGTAACGTGTGCTGTTTGCTTGAACTGCTCAAGACCTGAATGCTTGTATAAGAGGAACTCTTTGAGTTGGCTTCTTAGATACCTTCCTGCTGTTTCACATCTGATACTTCTTGATGAAACATAGGAGCCTTGTCTTATAACAGGCTTATTCAAAGTGATACAAGCTACGAAAGTGAGATCTTGGAGGAGTGTTGCCATTTTCATAATGTAATAAAAATACTGTCATGATAAATAATAATTAATAATAAATAGTGTGTAATAAGCATGTCATAAAAACAAATTTTATATTTCCAAGATCACTGCTTTTATAATTTATACTCAGGTAAAGGAGAAAATCCCTGGAAATATTCTTTTTAGGAGGGGGTTCGTGAGACTTGACATTTTGGTGAAAGGGGTTCACAGGTTGTTACAGTTTGGGAACCACTGGTGTAGAGAGTTTGTCGGGTCAGAGGTGAGAGATGTTTGCAAAGAACAAGGGACCCTTTGCCAAGGAGTCTCTATGTCACTCCTCCCCTTTCATTATTACCACCCGTTGGTGCTGCTCATGTAATTCTACTAGCAGCCTTTTCTGTAAGCTTTCTGGTATTGTTACTCACAGGCACCATGGCAAACAACCATTCTCCATGGATAACTCCACTTTCCTGAAATAGCAAGGGCCAAGTTGCTCTTTGATTGTGTGATTTGGCCACCCTGAAAGTGCTTAGTGCATCGCCTTAACTAAAGCAGGGTCTATGCTTGTTTCCAGCGCAATTTCCTTAGCTGTAATAGGGAGATGATCTAGGAAAGAGACTGTATACACAGGGTTTTCCTCTCTGTTTCCCTGTGTAAAGAAGCAGATGGGACAGTGCATCAGATGGTGTATGTGTGACACTATGTACCTCGGGGAACACCCTGCACTCCCATGTTCATCCTTATAGGATTGTGTGGTTTATTCTACCTGAAGCAGTGCATTTGGTTGAAGCGTATCAGAGACTCCTCTGGGGATAACAAGCCTGGTACATATCAATTTCTTTGTTAAATTGATGAACTCATATAAGCTTGCAGTGTCCAGCGGGCATAACTGGACACTGCAAAACAGAGGTTCCTAGGGTTGTGTCTGGGATCGGAGATATTGGCTAGTGTCATTCGGTTGCACAGTCCAAGGAGCAGTTACATGCCAGAGGCTGTGCGTGAACAGACCCAGGAGTGGGGGTTCTCACAGCAGAGCAGGGTAAGGCTGGCTCCCAGAGTCGAGGATTGGA